TTGTGTACACAAATTCCACGAGCTTACAATTCTCTGTACACGATCATTATAGCTCGATCATAAAATAAATACTTGAATGCATTTGATAATAAATTTTGATTATAACCATTGTTCAAGTATTAATCGTATACGGAGACTCATTATAATCAAGAAGTTGTGAGTTTCTGGAAACTTCTGGAGATAACGAAAGTGAGATCCATGGTTAATCAATGTACCCGTAGCTGATTGAGTATTTTCGTTTTCTCATTTTCTTCTACATTTATAGTTGGGTCGCTTGACGTGATTAATTCAGACAGAAAACCGTTACTTGACTTGATCGATATGTGACTGGAGATTGAACAGGAGGAATTGAAAGGAATCAAAATGATAAGAAAAACCAGAGGATTAGTTAATAGATAATCTGTTGTAGCAGACTAACCTCAGTTGATCATCTGTGGTTGACAGATTGCCTGAGTTAGAGACTTGGGGTTTTATGAATCTATGGCGAGCAAATTATCAGTGGTTAACTGATTTCAAACTCCGTGGTTAATGGAAAGAATTCGTGGTTAATGAATTGTCAGTGGTTAACTGACTCAAGACTCCGTGGTTAATGGAAAGAATTCGTAGTTAACGAATTGTCAGTGGTTAACTGACTCAAGAGTCCGTGGTTAACGGAAAGAATTCGTGGTTAATGAATTGTCTGTGGTTAACAGACTGGCCTGATTATTGTCTGTGGTTAGCAGACAGATCTGAACTTTTTTTCATTCATCTGTGGTTAACAGAATTTCCTGAATATCTCATGTCTTACTTCGTTTAAATTAAGTCATTTCAAGTGAATGGATGTATGTGTTGAGTGGATGTTGCTTAATATTTCTTGCTAAGTTACAATAATTTCGAAAGCTTTCGAAATCGCAATTATTATTTATCAACATGTTGAAATTTTAGATAATTTACGAAAAATAATTATTTGCTTTCTCGTTCTTTTTAAATAAAATTCATGATCAAATATGTTTTTAACTTGAGGAATTCTTCGTGTTGAGTCATTTTCAGATCCTGGGACCAAATCGGGAATTCGATGTACCTGATTTTATCAAACTGAAATTCGAAAGTGAAATTCGAGTCATACACTGACACACACACACCATCGAGATACAGATGATAAATAATAACACATTACTCTTCTGAAGATAACGACACAACCAATTGAAAATTGTACTGGACACTCTAGAAACGTTTGCATTGTATAGCATCAAACAATTGTAAATCGGGCTGTTCTTCAGTGTTGATTCCTGGGAGGTTTTAGCTAAAGAACAGACTAGTGTCCTCCCTATGTGAGATTTTATAACTCTCAGATTTTTCAGTTCATTAAAACTTCGGTTGAAAAAAAAAATCCCGAAGTTGTAATATCTCAAATAGTCCCTGGTGTGATTGCGGGGCGGCAACCTTTTTCACGGAGGGGAGTAGTGTTACGTGTGCCCCTTCGAATCCTAATTCATTTATCTATGATCTGAAGGAGGCTCTGAAGGACAACTGTCTTTTGGAAGTTCCTTCGATTCTTCTCTTGGAAGTCCTTCGTTGTAACTGTCATCGTATTGCCCGGATTGTAATAATAAACCGCCCCAATTATTTATTAACCTGTGTATCCCTTTACTCTCCGCTGAACCTAACAATACTATAGATTCTTCTTTCACTCCAGTGATAAATGAATAAAAATTCGTTTGCATAAAGTATACTCACATGCATTAGAATAAGGTTAGAAGGGTTGGAAAAGAAAGATAAGAAGCAATGTGGATAGATTTTGAAACGATTAAGGCAATAAAAATATGTAATAGTTGATAATTTTGCCACTCGAGCCGCTTATTCTCACAAAAGAGAGAAAATCCATTTGAAAACTCCGAGCGTCTCTGTCTCGGGCATGACGTCGTATCGTACTATCTCTGTCGCTCCTATTGCCATAAGACCAAGAGAAAAATCGAAGGTGTTTTGGTAATTGCAAGGAAAATTACTCTATTTTCTTAATGATTCTTGACAGTACAACACTTTATTAACCGATATATAAAAAAAAAATTTTTTATTGTCATAAAAAGTAATTTTTTAGGCAAAAATAGAAAATACGTCAATTTTCATTCATTACTGGGTGAACAATGACGTGAAAAATCGAAAAAAAATCTCAGAGCACGACAATCACATAAAGTCTTGAATTAAAAAAAAAAAGTTGAAATATCGATTTTTGGCTGAGCTATAGCTATTTGTTTGAAACGGAGTGCGGGGTGCTGCGCGCGTCTCGCCAAATAAATGGTAATATCTCGAAAACTATTAGTGATAGAGACATGAGTCAAAAACAATTCTATTCGTCTCAAAATTATCTAAATCTCTGCCGGTGCATGTCTCGATCACTTCTCAATAGTTTGCGAGATATTTTAATCCAAAGTGACCGCTCCAAGGGGCATTTTATTAATAATCAAAAACCACACCTTGGGACTTGATCACATTTGATCTACGCGTTATTCTGAGCATTTAAAAGAAAAATCATCGAAATCGGTAACTTATGACGAAAAATCGACAACAAACCTCTTTCCGACGGGCTCCGACTGGACTATGTCGAAAATTCGAATTTCATTCCACCATATCTATATTCATATGCGGACCTTGGACATAAAGGTAGTTTATGCACTGTTTGTGAGGTTATCGGTTTATGTTTGGAATGTGATAAAAGTGAGATGTGTCGAAAATATTGTGTGATCAAGTATTAAATGTCCGTGAATAGGTAAAGTCGAAAAGAAAATATTTATTTTTCTCCGAGTGTAACAGAAAATGTTTTCATTCCGAGTATAACAGAAAATGTTTTCATTCCGTGGAAAAAAATCTCTAAATTGAGGTTATTATGGCGGGGTCCATAGCTGGAAAAAAAAGCAGAGAATTCAATGAAAATTGCTGAATACATTATTCGATCCATTTGAAAGCCGTGTACAAAATGTCAAGACCCCCAGCCAAATAATAACAATGGGAATAATTTTTGAAGTTGCTACTTATACACGCAGTTGAATGGGGCATCGGTAATTTTTGTGAATCTCCTACGTTATCGATAGATCAATAGCGTAAGAAAAGTACTAAAATTACTGATGCCCCATTCAACCGCGTGTTTAAGTAGCAAATTCAAAAATTATTCCCATTATTATTGTTTATGTAGGGATCTTGACATTTTGTACACGGCTTTCAAATGGATCCAATAATCTGTTCAGCAATTTTCATTGAATTCTCTGCTTTTTTTTCCAGCTATGGACCCCTTAAGTGACAGTGAAATGCGAACAGTTTTGTGATTATTTAGGAAGAATTAGTAGGAGACGGTGGGATTAAATGGACACTTTGAAGCTTTTTCAAAATGTTGATATCTTATTGAAGTGTTGATGAAATATATTTTTTTTTAAATTAAAGTCCAGTCAGCCCCTTTGTAATGAGCTTAGACTGAGCTCAATCGATAAATTTGTTCCTTGGTTATAAATATTGAAACAAGAAGTCAGAAGAGTCCATTCCACCCAATGTTTCCCTAATATTTTTAAAAACAAAAAGAAAAAAAAACAGATGTTTTCAGAAAGAATTCTTTGTGAACATTTTGTTTGACTATTCCTATGAGGAAATCAATTCATCTCTCCAAGAAATACAATCCACATAGGAATCATCAGAGCAAAAATTGAATGAGGAACCAAAACAAGTCAGAAAATTATTAATAGATGATTAAAAATTGAAATTCGGTGGAGACAATAAATCTGGAGTAGAACTGTTTATTTCCCTTCAATTGTTGATTCAAAAAATGTTCTGTCCTATGAAAAATAAATGAGTTAAATTGAATTGAAAAGGACAAATTTCACCGGATGTAAAAACAGTCCTTGCTTATTTTGGAAAAAATAATGAAATCTGCCTAAAAACACAAAAACAAATGTTTTTGTAAAAAAATTGGGCCAAGAAAAAGTTTTGTTTGATTCCTACTGTAGGAAGTCGAAATTTTTGAAAAATACATAGAAATAAACAAGGAAGCCAAGTCAGGAATTTTGACTAAATGGTAATAGTGCATAATCAGGTTTCTATAAGAAAAATCTTTCTCAATGGAATAAGTATTCTAAAAAAATTCTCCGTGAAATAAAAAATCGGTAGGAGCAGGACCAACGTTCTTGGCGCGGAGTTTTTCAACTCACTGTCTGTATCAATCTAATCCTCCATACTTTGATCTGCGTCAAGGACGTTGGTCCTGCTCCTACTAATTTTTTTTTCATGGAGAATTTTTTTAGAATACCTATTCCATTGAGAACTATTTTTCTTATAGTAACCTGATTGTGCACTATCACCATTTATTCAAAATTCTTGACTTGGCTTCCCTTTTTATTTCTATGTATTTTTAAAAAAATTCGACTTTCTAGTAGGAATCCAACAAAACTTTTTCTTGGCCCAGTTTTTTTACAAAAATAGCATATTTCGATGTAAGTGCGGAAAAATGTTTTTTTCTCCTTCGGCTCGTACTGTAAACCTCCCACGAGCCAAAAAACACTTTTCATGAGTATCGAACGATTTTTTTCATCGCAATGTGTGGAAAAGGGAGGTTTTAGGCACGCAAAGCATGCCTAAAATAGTACATTACATGCCCGAACTTTGGAAAATAGATCACCGTCCCCCACGAGCAAGATTGCCTTCCGAGCCGAAGGCGAGGATGGCAAGCACGTGAGCCCATGTCCATGACATGCCCCATGTTTTCCATAGGGAGGTGTGTATATTAATTTTCAGGTCCCGTGACACAAAAAGTTACTGTTTCGCGGAGCGTAATGGAAAAGTTTTTTACTTAATTTTCTTCATAATGTGAATTGTGGTGTCTGACACACATTGAATTCAATAGAATCGGCCAAAACTAATAGAAAGTTCAGCAGGAATCCACTAGAATTGTTTAACGAATTCGTTATGTTTTTCTATTAAATTTTTTCGTGCGTGAGGAACTTAAATTACTTATAAAAATAAAATAAAAATTTCATCAGGAAACCATTGAAGCCTCGTTTCCTCTATTAACATCGAGTCTTACTCATTTTAAACTGGTTCTATTCACTCTACAACGAACTCCGTATGAACATCTTCTGCAACGAACAAACGAGACCCTGTGGATACAATCCTCTACAGAGTACGGGGAAATCGTGTTAGAAAAGTGCGAACGTCAGGCCCAACTTTTTCTATTTATTTTCGTTATTCTGGGACATGCCTCCGGTGTTGGTTGGATATTTGAGCCATTATTCCGTGAGAAGAGACATCTCTGAGTGAACAATTCCTCGCGAGTTCAATCAACTTCAATTTTGTTTTTTTTCAGTGAATATGAGAAGCAATAGCAGTACTCGTCATTTACCCACTGAAGTGATAATAGGGGTTCCCCTCTTCGAATCACCCAATTACGAAATATTTTTCGCGGTTAATGTAAGTATGGACCAACAATGATTCAGAGGCCTCGGGAGTAAAAAGGAACAACTGAAATACGGGGAACAATTAAGGATGGGCGATGTTTTTAAAAATGTCGATTATTAAGAAAATCGATGTTTTTTTCTCAATATACAGAAAAACAAGCAGGGGTTCGAGCCCATCCGATAGAAGGCATGTGACCGTTACTTTCTACGTTATTGGTTCTTTTCTTTTTTTCATTTCTACCAATTCAATTAGTAGTAAGCTTCCGATTGAATCCGTAGCAATTTCCTATCCTTGTGACAGGCATACAACCGTAACCACATGCTACAAGGTGTCTACAGGAAGATATTCATCAATCTTTTAATGAAATAAATTTATATAAAAGGTTAAATATCTCCGAAACTCCTCGACCGATTGCGCTTATCCAAACTACGAATCTTCAATATTGTAAGAGCAATAATCCCATCAAATTTCCACTTGTTATTTTCATTTTTTCTCAAAATATCGTGTGTACAAGAATGAAAAAGTATACAAAACGACAAAACCGTAATATCTCTGAATCTTTGGATGGACGGATATACATATTTCAATTGATCTAGATAGTAGTTAAATATCTCAAGAATCGCTTGGCCGATTGCGCCTATCCACAATACCAATCTTTTATGTTATAAAAGCTAGAAGCATACACAATTTCAACTCACTATCTCCATTTTTGATTGAGTTATCGTGTAAACAAGATTTTTCATAAAAAAACAAGCAGGGGCTCGACCCTATCCGACAGAAGGCATGTGACCGTTACTTGTTGCGTTATTAGTCCTTTTCTGCTTTTTATTTCTATCATTTCCATTGGTAGTAAGTTTCCGAATGAATCCGTAGCAATTCTCTGTTCTTGTAACAGGCATACAATTATAACTCCATGTTATATGGTATCTACAGAAAGATATTCAACCTTTTAATAAAATAGATTTATACAAAAAGTTGAATATCTCCGAAACTGCTCGGCCGATTGCGCCTATCGAAAATACCAACCTTCGTTATTGTAAGGGCTATAATCGTATCAAATTTCATCGTGCTATTTTCATTTTTTATGAAGTTGAATGAGAAAACAAGCCGAACCAACGATTAAACGACCGCGACCACTGCACGCTGGTTGAAATATTCATATGACGTGACCTTCCAAGTAATTATAATAAAAAATGCTATGGCAAACAAAAACACGGTAATTAATGTAATAGACCATTTCTCATGAAATTTTCCATCTGTAGAGATCCTAAATCAATTGACCTCAAAATTTTCCTGAGTCGTGTGACTAGATAGCGTTGACCACTAACCACAATTTCAAATCATAAGATAAACTTTCACCCATATTATGACACGCCTGAGCTAGCTGACCACTTAAAAATCGAAAAATGGCAATATCTCAAAAAACTTTCAATGAAACGGTATTGATATTTTGATTGGGTCAGATAGCCACCATTTAACGAATATTAAAAAAAAATTGAATTCGGCCGAATAATTTATGAGATATTGAAGAACGAAATTTCACATTCAAAATTGAATATCTCCGCAACTACTCGTCCAATATCGCCCATTTAAAATACCAAACTTTGTTATCATAAGACTTAAAATCATACGGAGTTTGGAGTTTCTATTTCAATTATTTTTGAAGTTATCGGGGCAACAAGAAATTTCGTTGAAAAAATGAAACAATGACAATAAAATACAATTTTCCATGGTGGGGTCATTGAATTCTCATGCAATGAGATAGGTGTCATCGTGACGAATATTTTGAAGAAAAAAATGAAATCGGTCCAGCCAATCCTGAGATATTTGCAAAAAACGATTTTTGGCAAATCGCTATATCTATCTATCTATCTATCTATCTATCTATCTATCTATCTATCTATCTATCTATCTATCTACCTATCTATATTTATTATATAGACTCCAGGTTAAAAACCCATGGGAGCCTGCTTAGCAAACAAAAATACAATGCCGTTACAATGCATATAATAATTCAAAACATATTATGATAGTCTCATTCAAGTCTTACTGTATGTATCACTGCACTTTCTTTTTTATATATAACATCACATGCTAAACACCAAATTTGGCGAAAGGAATAGCAAAAACAGTAAGCATCAAAGTTAATTAAACTTCTGCATTTCAAAAATGGTCTCTTCGTGCTGCTTTTTTCATATCAATGTATAACCTGAACACTGAACACACATTACTCAGTTAGTTGAGTTGGGTTGGCTGTGCTTATTTGTACTATCCTCATCCTTAGTTTCTCTAGCCACTGTGCCCTCAATTTGCATCGAACCTGGAGGTGATCGGAGTCAATCGTTGGCTGATCCTGAGTTCCTCAATCATAGGCTCCACTGTGAGCTCCTCGACTATGATTAGATCGATGACTGTGACTGTGCCTCTTATCTGCCGCGTTACCCACATAGGTGATCCTACCCTTCCTATCGCCTTCTGTGACTCCGTTGAGAATAACAAGTCCCTCCTCGTCGCAGAATCTCAGCAGCTTCTTCCCCTCCGTATTAAGCTCCCCATCCATAGATTTCCTCGCGAATTTTTGGTCCTCTTTCCCAGCCTATCGACTCCCCACCCTCGCATTGAAGTGTCCTATCACTGCGATTTCCTTCCCCTTGGCTCTACCCTCCTAGATATATACTCTGATCTCCTCAAATATCTTGTCAGTTCCGATATTACTATATTTCATTACAATTCTACCCTTTTTATTATGACAGAGAATTATATTTGAGATCACTGCCCCATGTTCCCAGATATGCACTTTAACTCCTTTAGCTAATTCTTTCTGAATGCCTACTAATCTTCCCCCCTTTCCTCTTCCCCTCTTATTTTTCTTATAAGCTCCCTGGAACGTCCAGGAAAAATCTGGGTCTAACCCCCCCACTAGCTTTTCCTTGTTTTTATTCTCTACCCAGGTCTCCATCAGGATTACAATATCATGGTTTGGTAGTTCCCCCGCCCTCTTAACTTTACTCGTTTTTGTGAGTCCTGCAATTTCCAACAAATTGGACTGATATTAGAATTTAAATTAGGTTACAGTACTCATCCTTATCTAGTTAGTTAGCTTTGGTTGTAGGGCCTCTCTGCCCGGGTGCCTCAGTATCACGCCTGCCTCGGCGAAATAGTTCGAGGGAGGCTATCTCCTCCCTTCACTGGTATGCAATATTTCCAATGAGTAGTCTCTGCTGGAAGTGTAGGGCCTGGCTGTCTTCCCGCGTTTCTACTCCCTCTGCGCCAGGCTCTGGAGCCAGTCTCTGATCTCCTCCTGCCTCCAGGTCAGGTCGCTATCTACTTGGATGCCAGCATCGCAAAGAAGTTTCTGGCTTCGCTTCGCCATCAGTAAGTTCTTGTGTTCGAGTGTAAGGGTGAGAAGGGTATTTCTGCCAACGGCCCTCTGCTTCTTTATCTTCAGATCAGTACCCATGACCCTCTGCGCCGTCTCTGCGAAATGTGTAGCCGCTGCCCAGCCCTTTGCCCTCAGCTCCCTGCCAATGTTTCTTCTTCAGTCCGCCCTCTCCTTCAGCTCGTGTTGCCACACCCCCTGGATGAATTTGCTGGGGACTGTGGATCTCCACTCCGGCTCCAACTGGATCGCCCCTACATCATCCTCGGGTAGTGGTATCGTACTAATCCGGCTGAGGTCTAGGGGGTTTCTCTCGCTATTGGAGGCCCTTCGATCTGACTCCTCTTGACACACAGCCCTATCCGTAGGCACGTGAGGGGTTGGAGGCATCTCCGTGCCCTTATGCCCATCTCTCGACTGGTTGATGTTATCCCCCCCTCCTGCCACTTTCCCCCCTTTCATTTAGTGTAGTTCCTATCTGATTTCCAGAAGCACTTCCGCCATTTGCATCCTAGTTGTCGCGGAAGATGCTCTAATATCTGTGAGCTCACCCCACGTCTCTCTCCAATTCACACTCTCGATGCCTCCTTGATCACTCTCCGACGTTTTTGGGGGTACAAAACTTGTCAGGCGTTCGTCCACTTGCTCCAGAACTTTTTCTACCCAGTTTTTGCTGAAAGACTCTAGCGTGGATTTAACCCATTGCAATATCCTCTCCTCGCTCTTTCTCACTGCTGTCGCTATGACCATGAATACTGACTTAGATATCACCACCTCCGGCTGGGTTTGCCTCGACATTTGGTCTTCCCTACCTCCATCCTCCCGGGTGGGGGAAGAGCTTACGGATGACGAGAGGTTGCCCTCCGTCCCACTCGACTCGTCGTTGCTGAGAAGGGTAGGCTACTCACTTCAGTACTCTCGTTTTGGACCACACTCTATTGCTTGATGTCTGTGGTTTAATCCGTATTGTCTTGTGTTTCACTCGATCTCCTTTCTCTGGGATATCCCCCATTGTGGTTTTCATTGGGGGTCGGCACTTCATTCTCCTCCCGAGTATTTCGACTCGGAAGAGTTTTTAGGATTATTTGCGAATCAGCCGGAACTCCTCAGAGCCTGGAACGTTGAGAGGCTGATCCGACCAAGGTGAAATTGCGTTACCCACCTCACGACCACCCACACTCTCAACCACCAATTACCGCTTCGGTCATCGCGAATCATCGCCTCCGGGTAGTACTAAACCGACGGCATATGGTCGGGCCGACGGGAGGATTGCTCTACTCCAGGCCCACGGGCTCATAAGCTTCCGCATCGTTCCACCGAGACTGGATAACTCCGGAAACAACAAAGTCGTCACTTCGAGTGCCGAAATAACTCCGTTTTTCCTAGCGGAGAATGCAGGAGCATTCCCCTATGTTCGCTACGATTAGTTATGCACCTAGCCACGCTGGGCTTCGCCCTCTCTCCCTGGCCATATTTCAAGCCACAAATTACTCCGGAGAGATCCTTTCGACCTCTCCGCTTGAGCGTCCGCGTTCGACTCCCTTGGAATCTCACTAGGGCCTTGTTTCCTAGTCTGGATATCTCGGCGACGATAGGTCATTCCATTAACCTATCCCCACCAAACATTCCGACGGCATCACGGAGGTACCAGTCCTTTCACCTGGCTACGTTGGTTTCTAGTCTACCCCCGCCAAACACAGCTGGGCGAGTTCTAAAATAGCGAAAACGTAGCAACGTCCTCCAACCTTCCAGGAGTCGTGGTTTCACCCAAAACCGCTATGCTTTCAGTCTTCCATTGGTCTGTGGCTCATCTCTTCTAGTCCCGGCTTGTTTTAGCCGCTTCTAGATGTCTCTTCCCGTCTCTCTTACTTAATTTAAAGAGTTCTTCAACTATTTAAGGGGATTTCAACCCGTAACGAGAAAATCTCGTTACACAATATTATTATTGATAATAGTTGTAGTCGATAGACTAGCCCAACAAAGCAACAGACGATTGCATCTGTCCACTTACCATTTACAAGGTACTTAATGTGAAAAATGATTACTTCCGATTGCGCATAAATTATTATTTTTTCCGTTCTCAATCAATGGACATTATTCCTGTCCTATCGTGAGAAGGAGAAAGGAAATTGATCTCGATATATCTCGAAAATCTCAAATAAGCGTAAGCGTAAGACTAAAACCGTAGCGCCACTACGTAAGGAACAGTGATACCGCGAGACGCGAGAGAAACGACACGAGACGAGACAAACGAGACGATGCGAGAGAATGGTTTCCTGATAACAAGACGAGAAGAGAAGATGCAGTTCCTCGTCGCGTCTCGTCCCGCGATATCACTGGTGAGGAGATGAGAGGGCGCGGCTGATCTCGTATTCAATTAAAAAAGTAAAAAATTTGGTTAGTTTGCACTGTAACGTGATAGATTCGTTACAAGGTCCTTCTGGGTTTTGAGTCTGTTCCGCGTGTCTGTGTTTGCACCACCAGGTGGGAAGTCACCTTCAATAGCGAGAGTCGAGAGAGACTATTTATGATTAACGCTCTTGTCTTTTTTTTTTTAAATATCCCGCCGCCACGCTCATGACGGAGGAGACATTCGTCGAGGAACATCGGGGGACCGAGGAGCTTCGGGTATCCCCGAGCATCACGAGTGAGTCCTCAAGAACCTTCGTCTTCAGTGCCCAAAGACGAGCCTGCACGAGTATCCCGCTGGGTGAAGGCACCACCTCCTGGACTTAAATCAGGAAGAAGTGATAGAGTGGCCAGCGAGAGATGTTCTTGCTGCTGGAGAGGGATTCTCGCCAGCTGTCTGAATTGACGTTAATTGCGAGTTACGATGGCACGACGGAATCCGCCATCTAAAATAATGGTTTTTGGGGCTTTGAGGTTTATTTTATATAATTCATCAAGTGAAGAAAACCCTAGCCGAATAGTACAGTCCGGACGCCGCGCATGCGTCACGGACCAATGAATTTTGTTATTGGGTGAACATTCGAGACGAGGGTCAATGGGAATCGCCACCGCGCTTCCGAAGCCGTTGCCGGGGTGTCTCGGCTCTTCTACCGACAATTCTCGTGTGGTGGTTGCTTGAAGGCGTTGGAGAGAAACGTTTGGTGGAATTTTCATCGTTGAGACTGATTTTGGAAGAATTCGTAAATTTGAGGGTCTGGAGGCTGTAGGAGATCGTGGACTTCTCGGGAGTCTATTGGATAATCTGAGGGATTTCTGGAATTTTGATCGAGCCGAGCGGCCAGGACTTGTTGCAGCTGAATCGTCTCGATAAGCGTGGTGGCTGTTTCCGTTGTTTTTTTTTCTAATTATTTCGAGAGGGCAATTTTCCCCTTTCGTGGGTGTCACCAATATCAGAGTCCTGCAGGACTGTAGAAACTACGAGATCAAATCCCAGGGGAAGACTGGCCACTCCGTTCAGCGATTGATAGTTGAATATCCCTCTCTGGGTGTCGTTGTCGTGTGATTTTACGATTTTAATGTCGCGTTCAATCATTGTTTTTCCTTGCTTTTCCATTGTTTTTTGAGTCCTGCAGGACTGTAGAAACTAGGAGATCAAATCCCAGGGGAAGACTGGCCACTCCGTTCAGCGATTGATAGTTGAATATCCCTCTCTGGGTGTCGTTGTCGTGTGATTTTACGATTTTAATGTCGCGTTCAATCATTGTTTTTTTTATTGTTAATAATTAGCTCCAAACATTAGTGTCGCGGGCATTTGATTCCGTGAAAACGAGCGCTCTCGTCCTTGGATCGTTTCGTATTCAATTTAATCACGGTGGTCTCGCGACCTTGACTATGTGTCACTGGCCAGTTTCGCATTCTTTTGTTTTGGTTTTCTTTTAATCGTCAGCGTATACTCATCTCGTAGGTGATCGATATTTGAGTCTTTGTTGTATTTCGAGTCACTGAATTTTCTTAACAATTTCTTTGGTTCTGTAATTTTCTTTATTTTCATTTATTTTTGACTAATGATCATTGACTCCTGCCAGTTGAAATTTTCATTTCAACTGCTGGATTATTTGGATTTCGGCTTTTATTCAACTTCAGAACCTGTCATTTTCCGACGAAAGTTATTGGTTTTGTATCGAGTTTTATTAATCGTTATATCAAATCCCAAAGGGGATTTTCAAACAAGTTATTTATTCTTTTATTTTTGTATCGAGTTTAGCAGTATTAAAGTTGTATGTTCCCCATCAATAGTTTTTTTTAATTTAGTTAACGTCTCTCCAGTCATATCCCGATTTTAGCTCTAGGGTCTAACCCCTCTCCAAGGACGAGCTACCTGATGCATTTGAAGAGCTGTCATCGGAGAAGGTTTGTGTCGGTAGTCGTTCCGATATCAACGACCTGGCGTCCAACTTTGGTTTAGGGTTTTGTTGGTGCCAGAGGGCTGCGTAACAGAGGACTGATGCCGTGAGTCTGCCAAAATTACGTCACAGCCCGAAAGCATCGATGTTTGGAAAAAAGAATCGAAAATCGATTAATCGGCGTTGAGAACATTCGAATGAAAAACATCGATGTTTGAACATGAAAAATCGATGTTTTCAATTGATTGACAAACATCGCCCATCCGTAGAAACAATTTACGATGCATAACAAAATATTCTACAAAATTTTCTATCTGAACATACCCTAGGTACCATTTAGTATCCATTTTCAGAAAAAAAAGAAAAATAGAATGAAAAAAAACTGGAAAATTTGAGCCGAGGAAATTCTACAGAAAATATATCATGTAACGATATTTTCTCGTTACGGGTTGAAATCCCCTTAAATAGATGGTCACACTCTTAAAATTATGATAAGAGGGACAGGCAGAGACATCTAGAGGCAGCTGAAAGAGCCACGACTAGATGGGAATAGCCACAGACCAATGAAAGGCTGAAGGCATAGCGGTTTTGGGTTTCTGGAGGACGTTACTAGACTTTCGCTATTTTAAAACTCGCCCAGCTGTGTTTAGGGAAAAGTGGCCCGACGTACAGGGGTTCCAACTGGGCGACTCTAAAGGCTGTGTCGGGGTAGACTAGGGACCAACGTAGCCAGGTGAAAGGACTGGCACCTCCGTGATGCCGTCGGGTTGATTGGTGGGGATAGGGTAACGGAATGACCTATCGCCGCCGAGATATCCAGACTAGGAGGCAAGGCCCTAGTGAGATTCCGAGGGAGTCGAACGCGGACGCTCAAGCGGAGAGATCGAAAGGATCTCCGAAGTAATTTATGGTGTTGGCTTGAGATATGGTCAGGGACGAATGGGCGTAGCCCAACGCAGCCAGGTGCATAACTGATGGTAGCGAGTGTAGGGAAATGCTCCTGCATTCCCCGCAAGGAAAAAGAGTTATTTCGGTGCTCGAAGTGACGACTTTGTTGTTTACCAGCGTTATCTAGTCTCGGCGGAACGATTCGGAAGCGTATGGGCCAGTGGGCCCGGAGTGGAACAATCCTCCTGTCCGGCCCAACCATACGCCGACGGTTTAGTATTACCCGGCGGTAGTGACGTGCGATGATCGAAGCGGTAACTGGTGGTCGAGAGTGTGGGTGGTCGTAAGGTAGTTCCACTTCAGTCAGATCAGCCTCTCGATGTCCCAGGCTCTGAGGAGTCCCGGCTGATTCGCAAATCATTCTGAAACTCTCCCGCGTAGGAATACTCGGGAGGAGAACGCATGCTGGAGGAATCGAAAGATCCTCCAGAACAGATGTGAATAAAAATTCCATATGATATTTAGGCTGGGAGGTCTAATTCAGGACCTGAAATAGAGGCTCGTAACGATGTGACGAAAAAACTCCCGGTGAATCTCAGCCACTCCACCAGTCACACTGATGCTAGCTTGGAAAATTATTGTCCAGCTACAAAAGTCCTCTGAGTAGACGAGTTTGTCTGTTTTCGTCGAACCTTGCGTAAAGGTTTGACTAGCCCCCAATACACGACCGATAGAGAAGGCAAAAAAGTAGTTTGGATTTTTCCTGGGTGAACAATCCGGGAAAATATCCTTACAATCAATAGAATAAGTTGCACAAAAAATCTATTAATTTTTTTTGTAGAATATTTACTTTTGAACCTTGTTCTAGAATCGGACAAAAATTAAGAGAAAATTCAACAGAATTGTCTAGCGAATTCACTAGGTTTTTGTATGAAATTTTTTCGTACGTGATCTTTCAAATGTTTCCGTCCCCGAGGTCTTGTAACGCTAGAATTGATTCAATCCAATGATGATAGATACTTGTTCAAGGCACTGGGAATTTACATCATAACAATCTTATACTTCTGCTTCGATTTTTACCTAGTTCTCGTGAATATATTCATTGTCGGTCAGTTTGAAATTCTGAGACAGAGATTCGAGATCATTTACTCAGTGAAACCGAACCAATCAGTAATCAAAAATGGTCATGACAATGGAAAGAACAATCACAGACAACTTGCAACCATGGATTATATTTCACAAGAGTTCAAAAACTGCGCGAAGCAGCATCAGTTTCTGATCTCACTCATGGAAGAGATCGAGAGCATTCATAACATGATGAATCTGGCGCAAGTACTGATGATCAGCTTGATCATCTGTCTCGTGGGATATCCACTTCTCATGGTACATGAAAACTAAAAATAATCATTAAGTCATTAACTATAAAAATCGGTTTTATTCAAGCCTGGAAGTGCATTGACAATTGTCAAAAATGGAGTGTTCATTTGCAGTTGTCTGATTCAACTATTTACCTACACACTGTCGTGTCATAATATTATGATTGCCAGTTCAGATATTGCCGATGGGATATATTTTTCGAGATGGTATCATGAGAATCACACCGAGGCGGGACGGTCATTGTCGAAGGCCTTCATGATCGTCTTGCTGAAAACCCAATGTCCGTGTTATCTGACTGCATGGGGGTTCTTCCCTATTACATTGGATACTTTAAAATCGGTCACTATTGGTTTATAACCACTGCAGAAGTGGAGTAATTTTTAAACGGTTTGCTGATTTATGTTTACAGATTCTCACAACGGCTTTCTCGTACCTGACTTTGATGAGGCAAAGCATGGAGCAGTAAAGGATTTATCTGAATAACCTGTGTGATCTTGTGGGAGTCTCGTGGTTCCAATAGAGTATTAGTCTTACGTTTGTAATATGCAAATGTTGCAAGAAGGAAATAAAAAACGTTGAAGACATCCTGCAAAGACGAGCTGTGACGGTAACTCATTTGTCTTATAGTCTCCCTTAAGCCTCATATATTATATGTTGCAGTAGAAAAGTGAAGCTATATTACGAAGTCGTTGCTACTAGAAGTTGAAAAACTATGTTTTACCCCCGACGTCAAACTAAAGGGAGGGGTATATGCTTTTGCCACTCGATAATTTAACTCTGCAACGTCGTAGTCCAGACGAAACTACATGAAAAACAATTCGAAAAAATGAGTTTTTGTATTACAAATGATGAAAATACTCCGAGGAATCGAACTACGAAGCCCTTCTTTTGATTAATTACTCCATTTTTGTTTCCGTATGGAAGCATTGTATTCCTCCGAATTTAAGTTCCCAGATTTCTTCGTGAAGATGACTAATTTGGGGATTAGGAGTCTGAATCTGATGTTTTTAGACCCTGTCCGTATGTATGTCCGTGTGTATGTGTGTATGTGACCGATTCAGTTTTTTCATGATAATTTCAAAAATAATTATCTGAATCAATCGAATCTGGGCTAGAAATATCCGTTTTTATGTTATACAGACCGAGTTCGAAGATGGTGTCGATTGCGCTTTTAGTTTTTGAATTATCCTCAAAAATTTGGCGCAAGATCGGTCCAATGTTGGCGCAAGGTTGGTGCAATGTTGTCATAGTGTTGCCACAAGGTTGGCGCAAGGTTGGCACAAGGTTGGCGCAAGGTAGGCCCTTATGGGGGTCTTATGGGAGTCTTATCGGAGTTTTATGGGAGTTTTATGGGGGTTTATGAGGGCCATATGGGGGTTTATGAGGGTCATATGAGGGTCTTATGGGAGTTTATGAGGCTCATATGAGGAGGGTTGTCAGGGGGGGTTGCTAGGGAGAATTCCTAGGGGGTTTCTAGGGAGGTTGCTAACAGGGTTGCAAGGGGGTTTAATAGAGGATTGCTAGGGGGGTTGCTATGGTTGGGTGCTAGGGGGGTTGCTAAGGGGGTTGTTATGGGTAGCATCCCCTGATCTTTCAGCGACGCCTGAATATGAGGGTCTTATGAGAGTATTATGGGGGTCATAGGGGTGATAAGAATGATAAGGGTAATGAGGGTCTTATGGGGACGTATATCATCAGTTAATAGTGCAATGAAAAGGCAATATCCATTCGGAAGCATATTGCTAATTCATTAGCAAAAACGGGCACCATAATTGACACAATTGACAGTAATTGCCCACTTGTTCTAAAAAGTGTGTAAAAAAAATGATTCGATGAAGGTGACTCGATTAAACCGTAATTCCCTAGCAAGCAAAAACGAAAATGGATTGGTAGCATTGAAATTTCATTCATGCTTATGATTCTGCGCGCGAAAGGTTCAAGTTGAGGATAATCACCTTTAGAGTAATCAAAAGATTAAATTACGCAGGAAAGGGCGAAAAAAATGAAAACTACAAAATTGAAAACACCCGATGAAAAAGTAATCCCTGAGTAGTTTAAAAAGAGGAAAATAAAAACTCAAATATTTAATTGGACGAATTTTAGAGACACTGAAATTTCTTTTGTTTAACAGAAGAAACAGCAGAAAAAAGTCAGGGGACACATACAGTCACGAAAATGTTGGGTTCTCGCCGACTTTTATTTGCTTTTTCTTCTGTTACATAAGGAATTTCAGTTTCTCTAAAATTCGTCTGGTTAAAATTTTGAGTTTTTATTTTCTTCTTTTCAGAATACCGGCCGGGAGTCTCTAGCAGCATAAAATATTGATGAGCCTCTGTTCATCATCACACCAGCAAGTTTGTAGAGTTCTTTCAACGGAAAATTTCCCCCCGCTCTTGCTGTCAATCATTTTCACCGGTCAGACGTAGAAGCGCCAGAACTGATCTAGTGAATTGATAGCGGTTGTTTTCCACCTCCAAACTATGTCCATCTTCTCATGATTGTGAACATGAAAGAGTTGTGGCCCATGAAGCTGATATATTTCTTCTCATCCTGCACCGGCTTTGGAACGGGCAAGACCAAAAGTGAGAAGAAACGGTTGTACATTTTGTTGGGTGTATTCATAATGATGAGTATGATTTCACTGATCATCGTGGGACTTGTGCTATGATGTTAAAGAAGGCAGTGATAATGTGAGCGATAAAAATTTGTTATGCCCCAAAATAACATTATGAAATTCCTCTGTTGATTTGGATAATATGAGGACACGAAAGTGGCACATATTATTGGAAACAAAAGGGAATGAAGAAATATAAAATAACGTCGAATATTCCTGTTTGAAAAACCACGTATATTCGACGATGTGGATAACTGGGGTGCAAACTCAGCACTTTGCACCCCGACGACTGGCCTTCGCGCGCGCCGGGTGACGTCACCCGATGCTTCGCAGGTGTGCGACGAAGACAATGATCTGATGTAATCGAATACACGAAGGAATATCAAAACTCGTGAATTCGTTGCCGCTTGGCCAGTAATTCGACAACACTTTAATTACCTTCTTTTACTATCTACTCGCCTGATACCTTCAGTATCAGACCGAGTCCTTATTTATTTAATAAATGGTAAATTAATCGTTTGAAATCAGTTCTCAATAAAGATACTTATTTCTATTATTTATCCGCGTGTGCTCTACACCTTAATCGAACCCAACCGCTCGGGTCCATTCCATTTTTGATGGCAGCGTATCTTTTGGGAAGACGGAGGCCTGATCAACCACTGTCTAATCACACAGTGATAGAGAACGAGATAATATCTGGAAAATTGAACTATCTGAGTGTAGACTGGTTAGCACCTGTCAACCCTGTTTGCCTGTGCAATCCTTTCATCGAGGGAGCGAGAAGATTACCTTTAAGGTAAACCAGCCGCAGATTTTTTGTGGACCTTTCATCGAGGGGGCGAGAAGATTACCATGATGGTAAACCAGCGGAAACCTACCCTAGTACTTCAGCGTATTAAAAGGGCTAGTATAACAGTAAACTACCCTGACAGGAAGGGCTAGTATTGAGATACGTAGCTACTCAAGTAAGATTATTCTATTTTTGGCCAAGAGATAAATAATCAACGATGTCAATTACTGGAGCAAATGGTAGTCGCAGAAAGGAATCTGATTTCGAGTCTTACTCCACTTCGGCACCGGGGGTAAGAAGAAATCTATTCAATTCTGATTCAATTCAATTCAAATTCTCTCCATCATTTCAGAGGTAAAATTATTAGTTTGCACGAATAAGTTTTAAATCTCGAGATGAGAAACAAGATTACAGAGGAGAAATTGAAACGACTTCTTGAATCTGAGCGGCTTCGTCGAGAGGAGGCCGAAAAAGAAAGAAATTGTTACGTCATAATGACGTACAAAAATTATTATTAATTCCAACTTTTGGAAACAATAATAATTTCGGAATAAAGAAAAAAATATCATATTTAAATACCAATGGAATCATACGATTCCAATGGTACATAAACCGATCGTCTTACATCCGGTAAGACGATGGAAAAATTAATTTGAGATGTGATTCATACCACACGGGTGGTATGAACCCGCGTTGCCGAGGGCCTTATCGCCCTGGTTTCGGGTTGCTGTTGCGAGGCAGTCCACCTCGTAACAGTCTCACCATTGTCTAATACTTCCCTCCCCTCACCTCGCTCTCCACACCTAACTACGCATCTTATTTTTCCGTCATCCCCGCGCTCCTCTCGCCACGAAACGGTTCACGTGCGCTTGTTCCCCTATTCCCTCTTCTCCGCGCCCCTCTTACCAAGAAACGCGACCACGCTGGCTACACCAATTGTCCCCCTCCCTTAATAAGACGCGTGTCTCCTCAATCTACCTACCCCCTCTCTCTACAGAGTGCACTCAGCACGCATCCACATCTTATTCCCCACCCCCATACAATTAAAAATTCGTGTATGCATTTACATACACGAATTAATATTGACGACGCAAAAAGGGCATCACCCAAGCGGTCAGTCGATCGGTCAGTCAGTCGTGTCGTGATTCCGCTCCGGAAAGGAATACATCCAAGTAACCCAAAGGATAAAGGAAGCAAGAAGGAATAACAATATAGAAGCAAGAAGGAATAACAATAAAGGAGCAAAAAGGAATAACAATAAAGGAGCAAAGGGAAAAACCTAATAAAAAGGAAGGTAAACTGAATTATTATTTTCGCGAGTGTTTCCGAAACTTACAAATTAATTTTTGCGATTGAATTTAAAACTTAAATATTATTTTCGCGAGTGTTTCTGAAAATTACAAATTAATTTTTGCGATTGAATTTACAACTTAAATATCATTTTCGCGAGTATTTCCGAAAACTACAAATTAATTCTTGCGATTGAATTTAAAACTTAAATATTATTTCGTGAGTGTTTTTCCGAAAATCTACGATTTAATTTTTGCGATTAAAAATTTAATTTTGAAATATTATTTCGTGAGTGTTTTTCCGAAAATTCATGAATTAATTTTTGCGATTAAAATTCAAATTTGAAATACTATTTTCGTGAGTGTTTTTCCGAAAATTTACAAATTAATTTTTGCGATTAAAAATTTAATTTTGAAATATTATTTCATGAGTGTTTTTCCGAAATCTATGAATTAATTTTTGCGATTAAAAATTTAATTTTGAAATATTATTTCGTGAATTTTTTTCCGAAAATTTATGAATTAATTTTTGCGATTAAAAATTTAATTTTGAAATATTATTTCGTGAATTTTTTTCCGAAAATTTATGAATTAATTTTTGCGATTAAAAATTTAATTTTGAAATCTTATTTCGTGAGTGTTTTTCCGAAAATTTATGAATTAATTTTTGCGATTAAAAATTTAATTTTGAAATATTATTTCGTGAGTGTTTTCCCGAAAATTTACGATTTAATTTTTGCGATTAAAAATTTAATTTTGAAATATTATTTCGTGAGTCTTTTCCCGAAAATTTACAAATTAATTTTTGCGATGAAAA